GACTCATCTCTCCGCATTCCTGGCCTGCGGAAAGGTGTGTGCACTTTCACAAATCATTATGAAACACTACATGTAGTGGGTGTAACAATGTTTACATAAAGGAGAGGATTCGCGAGGAATAATCAGGGTTTAGCGTTCTAGTGAAAGTGAACGGCAATTTCAAGCTTTATTACATGTCGGTTGTTTTCTATGTTCCACAAAGCCAATCGGACTCCACATGCATGCCATTTTGGAATATCATTACATTGCGGACACGGGAAGCTGGCCCTTTAAGACGTCTTTTTTTTTCTCTCGGTCTGTGGGATCTTGTAAAGCTTCATGCAGTTTTGCACTCTGCAGCTCAGACATTCAAATGTTTGCTGCTTTAAATAAGCACAGCCGTGTAAATGTGCGTCTGAGAGGGTGAGAGAGAAACTTGAAGAAAGAAAGAGATACATAAATCTTAAAGTGCCGCTACACTCAATAGTATACTTTGAGTATAGAAAATAATCTTTAGCCCCCTTTACTTTCTTATACTTGCATCTGTGCACAGCTGTCCTTCATTACAAGTTAATTGGGTGGATATTTAAAAGGGTCCTTTTAAAGGGTAAGATAATGAGTCAGAACAAGAACAAGTACCACAATGCACCTGTTCAGCATAAAACGTGGCACAAATAGGATGAAAGTAAAAAAGTACTTATAGCTCAAGTGCATTATGGTTTTTAAACTCTAATATATAAGAAAACAGAAATAATGACTTTATTCACCGGCCGATAAGGTTTTCTGTTTGGGCGATGCGTTCGAGGTGGGACTTTTATTTTGATGGCACGATGGACATTTATTTTGACGGCGTTGAGAGCGGCAGCGCCTGAGCACACAGTGCTCACATTCTCCCTCTTGTTTGCTGTCGTCGTTAACAGTTCTGTCTAATATGGATAGAAGTCTGTATAATAATCAAATAGAACTGTTAAACAAAGGAATTAAAATGTATACAAAAAGTATTATAACGATTGCTTTTATATTATTAGTAACAGAAAGGCACACATTATAATACTTTCTCATTTGTTGTCAGCATTCAGCAAATACGCATTTACGCGTGCATCTCAATAAATTAGAATGTCATGGAAAAGTTCATTTGAATTGGTGGGTTTTTGTTAAATGTGAGCCAAAATCATCACAATTAAAAGAACCAAAGACTTAAACTACTTCAGTCTGTGTGCATTGAATTTATTTAATACACAAGTTTCACAATTTGAGTTTAATTACTGAAATAAATGAACTTTTCCACGACATTCTAATTTATTGAGATGCACCTGTACACCATTTAAACAAATCTTTGAATGGCTAATGAACATTTAATTTCACAAACCTTGCAAACTTAGTCGGATCCAGTTGTGAGATCTTGTGAAGTGTGCATGTGACCTGCATGATCGCGTGTTCTCTGTGTGACTTTCGGTTTGTGCAAATTGAATGCTTTAAACATTAAATTCGTGATTTCAACTTTATGCATTTGCCCACTGTCATATTCATGTCATTTTCACTGTGTGCTGTATGTAAAATGAGTGTTACTTTGGCTTTATTTGAAAAAATATGATTCCCAATGCACACAAACTTCCCAGAATACTGTAATACAATTATATCGGCTTTATATCGGCCACCCTGCTTTCCAAGATATCAGCATTGGCACTCAAAAAACCAATATCGGTCGACCACTAGTTTAGTGTGCACTATAGAGTGAGGGAGGACTTTTATGATTATTGTACGGTATCACTGAAGTAGGGCTGTGCAAAAAATCGAATGCCGCTTCTGGTGATTAGTAGTAAATCTCCAGTACGCGCTCCATCTGAAACCACGTGCTGGAGATTTACTACTAATCACCAGAAGCGGCATTCGATTTTTTGCACAGCCCTACTTCAGTGATACCGTACAATAATCATAAAAGTCCTCCCTCACTCTATAGTGCACACTAAACTAGTGGTCGACCGATATTGGTTTTTTGAGTGCCAATCCATTTTGGAATATCATTACATTGCGGACACGGGACGCTGGCCCTTTAAGACGTCTTTTTTTTTCTCTCGGTCTGTGGGATCTCGTAAAGCTTCATGCAGTTTTGCACTCTGCAGCTCAGACATTCAAATGTTTGCTGCTTTAAATAAGCACAGCCGTGTAAATGTGCGTCTGAGAGGGTGAGAGAGAAACTTGAAGAAAGAAAGAGATACATAAATCTTAAAGTGCCGCTACACTCAATAGTATACTTTGAGTATAGAAAATAATCTTTAGCCCCCTTTACTTTCTTATACTTGCATCTGTGCACAGCTGTCCTTCATTACAAGTTAATTGGGTGGATATTTAAAAGGGTCCTTTTAAAGGGTAAGATAATGAGTCAGAACAAGAACAAGTACCACAATGCACCTGTTCAGCATAAAACGTGGCACAAATAGGATGAAAGTAAAAAAGTACTTATAGCTCAAGTGCATTATGGTTTTTAAACTCTAATATATAAGAAAACAGAAATAATGACTTTATTCACCGGCCGATAAGGTTTTCTGTTTGGGCGATGCGTTCGAGGTGGGACTTTTATTTTGATGGCACGATGGACATTTATTTTGACGGCGTTGAGAGCGGCAGCGCCTGAGCACACAGTGCTCACATTCTCCCTCTTGTTTGCTGTCGTCGTTAACAGTTCTGTCTAATATGGATAGAAGTCTGTATAATAATCAAATAGAACTGTTAAACAAAGGAATTAAAATGTATACAAAAAGTATTATAACGATTGCTTTTATATTATTAGTAACAGAAAGGCACACATTATAATACTTTCTCATTTGTTGTCAGCATTCAGCAAATACGCATTTACGCGTGCATCTCAATAAATTAGAATGTCATGGAAAAGTTCATTTGAATTGGTGGGTTTTTGTTAAATGTGAGCCAAAATCATCACAATTAAAAGAACCAAAGACTTAAACTACTTCAGTCTGTGTGCATTGAATTTATTTAATACACAAGTTTCACAATTTGAGTTTAATTACTGAAATAAATGAACTTTTCCACGACATTCTAATTTATTGAGATGCACCTGTACACCATTTAAACAAATCTTTGAATGGCTAATGAACATTTAATTTCACAAACCTTGCAAACTTAGTCGGATCCAGTTGTGAGATCTTGTGAAGTGTGCATGTGACCTGCATGATCGCGTGTTCTCTGTGTGACTTTCGGTTTGTGCAAATTGAATGCTTTAAACATTAAATTCGTGATTTCAACTTTATGCATTTGCCCACTGTCATATTCATGTCATTTTCACTGTGTGCTGTATGTAAAATGAGTGTTACTTTGGCTTTATTTGAAAAAATATGATTCCCAATGCACACAAACTTCCCAGAATACTGTAATACAATTATATCGGCTTTATATCGGCCACCCTGCTTTCCAAGATATCAGCATTGGCACTCAAAAAACCAATATCGGTCGACCACTAGTTTAGTGTGCACTATAGAGTGAGGGAGGACTTTTATGATTATTGTACGGTATCACTGAAGTAGGGCTGTGCAAAAAATCGAATGCCGCTTCTGGTGATTAGTAGTAAATCTCCAGCACGTGGTTTCAGATGGAGCGCGTACTGGAGATTTACTACTAATCACCAGAAGCGGCTTTACTGACAAGATTCGCATGAGAATCGCATTCGATTTTTTTGCCCAACCCTACACTGAAGTAAACAGTTTTCTTACCTGTAGCCATTTCAGGTAATGTCACATCACAGGACATAGAAAAAAAAACGGAAAACAAAATTTGTTTAGTTTTTAGTGTAAAATTGTATACATCATGAGTCATGACCTACAACAGACATCTAAGCTGAATTAGCCTTATACATTTGTTTATTTATTTACATTTTTAAGTTTTAGCGATTTTTTTTCAGGTTGTTTTTTAACATTCATGAGTTGATAGTAAGCTGAGAACGGAAAACACTTAAATGCTGTAAAACAAAACAAAATGAAACGGCACATCTGGACGCTACAGATTACACAGCCACTGCCATTCACAGAGAGAGAGAGAGCGAGAGAGAGAGCAAGAACGAGAGAAATTAAAACATGCCAGCTATGCAGAGGGAATATTATCTTAATCTGAAAGCATTTAGTTCCAGTAGATGTTGCCTTCAGATTTCCCCTCTCACGCAGGGGCTTTGGGAAGTCCTGTACGTGGCGTCACTCCAATTACCACAGCCAATGGCTTGCAAGGAATGTATTTGCATGCATATTTTTCACCCTCCCTCCATCCCTAAGCTCTTAATGAGAGAACAAGAAAGAAAGAGAGAGATCTTTGCCATTACTCTTAAAGAAACAACCTAAACCCTGCTACCCGCCCTAGCCTGGCTGATCGCTATCTAGCAGCGCCATTGTGTCTGCGCCGTGCTTGTTTTGCTTTGCGTACAGAGGTGGGCGCTGCAAGAACAGGGTCTCTTTAGAGGCAACCGTGAAGTAAACACCAAACAGTTTTTTATATATTGTTGTTTCAGTTGCGACCATTGCGCCAAAAGATGTTGAAGTACAACAGAACTACAAGCAAGGCCTGTTTGAGATACAGGGCAGGGCTCTACGCTTTATTTCTGGTCAAGAGAACGTGACACATATTTCACTGAGTGGCTGTCTGCTTTCGTTTAGGCAACAATAATTGCAGCTTCCAAAAATAAAACGTGCGGCCGTATATTTCTCCTGCTGTTTATATCTGTCCAACAGCTGGTCATTTATTGTTTCACAAGCTGCTTCAGCTGTTGTCTGAACCGTAGAGGGTGAATAAAGAGAAATAAATAGACTTAATTAAAAGTGGTATGTAGTAGTACAGTTTTCTGCAGGCAGCTCTCTCCTGCTTCAAGTCTTTTAAGCTCACCATGATTCTTTGCCTTTCTTCGTGCACGGCTCAGGGTATCCTGTTTACATACCTCAGGCCTGCACATGAAAGCGGGCGGCTGCAGCAACCCCCGACCAGACATGTTGGAAAACTGCTCGCACAGGCCTGCCATGCCCTCAGACCAAAAACAGCACAACAATGGCATGGTTGTGTAATTGCAACACAATCGCTGGGAGAGATTTTTGCCCCTTACTGGATCGAGGAGCCACCAACGGTTGGGAAGGGGGTGAATGACGGGCACACACACCTGCTTTAAAAAACAAGGGCAAAATTGCATTAGTGCTGCTGGAAAGAACGGAATGAGGGGGGGGGGGTGTTTCTACAAGTGATTAAGGCACGTATATGAATGGAAATCATAAGGAATTTAACCACTTATGGCTTTGAATCTATTTGCCAAAAACTACACTAGTGCAGCACACCTGTCACTGGGAAGGGAAGAGGGGAATGCGGTTCTAACATGCGGTTGAGGTGCATGGGTTTATGTAGGAAAGAAATAATTTCGTTCATACTTGGCGAAAATAGGATTTGCATGGTACAGTTGCCATTGCAATAAAAAGGAAGGAGAATTATTGTTATATGTGGCTCAAGTGCATGGGCACATGTAGAAACCATTTCCTTTCCCTTCTTTGCAATGAGAAGGAATTCAATTTCATGATTGCGATTCAAGTTGGCGAAAACTGCATTAGTGCGTCCTACACATGGCACTGGGAAAACGGTTCCATGCAGTGACGATGCATTGGCACATGTTGAACTGGTAATTGCATGCAATTTAATGATGGTTGCATTTCTACCTGCGGCACACCTGTCAAAGGTACATATTAGGGGTGGGGGGAAAATTCGATTCTTAGATGCATCGCGATGCCGACGTGGACGATTCTGAATCGATTCACAAATGTCAAAAACCGATTTTCTATTTCTTAATGTTAATTGATAACGTGATTTTGACAGAAAGCAAAAGGCAGAACTCTAACCCCTTATTTACACTGCACGCATCCGCGGTGCGTTATGGCTCCGACAAGGTTTTGTTCCATCCTCCAAGTGTTGCCAACTCACACCAGAAGCGTTAAGGCCCCTTCACACGGAACGCGGCAAGTGGTGGAATCGCCGTGCGGATGCTGCTTTCTCTCGTAGTGAAAGTGTTTTGTGCAGTTGAAGGCGGTGCTTCAGAAACGTGCTGCAGTGCGGCTGGTGTAAACACGAGCATTGACTAGACTGCAATCAGCTCCGGTGGCCACGTCGGAGCCATAACGCGTCACAGACACATGCAGTGTAAATAAGGGGTAATGATGCATGATGGCAGCACGTGAAATAAGACCGGCACCGTCTGCATTAAAAGCTAGCGTATGGAAGTACTTTGGCTTCTAAGAAGTTGAAGGGGGAAAGACCCTGAACAAGAGTCACACTATGCAAGTTGTCAAGCCAAACTAAAAATTTTTGGAAACACAAATATGAGAAACCATATTACAGAATATGCTTAAGTCTGTATTCATTTACTACAAGTATGCTGCTACAGGTACATGTTTCTTTTCCCATTGGTTCTTTGTAACCTTGTTGTTGACTTGCCAAATCACTTTCATTTGCTTTATTAATAAAAGATCTTGGAAATAAATTAATTATGGATCACTCCAGATACTTTGCTTTAATAGTCAGACAGTGAGAAAAAAGAAAATCTGTATTAAAGCAAAAGATGCATCGATAATCGTTTTATCATCGCAACCCTCTGAATCGTAATCAAATCGAATCATGAGGTGCCTAGAGATTCCCACCCCTAGTACATATAGGAATGGGAACTGTATAAAAATGTAATGCTTATGAATACGATTCTACTTGACAAAAACTGTACTAGTGCGACACACCTGCTATTGGGAAGGGAAGAGGGGAATGCAGCGCTTACACGCAGCTGAGGCACAAGGGTGCATGTAGGAATGGAATTTAACGTATCTGGTTTCGATTGTACTTGCATTTGCGCGATACAGTAGCCGTTGCAATAAAAAAGGGAAGAAGAATGGTTCCTATATGTGGCTGAAGTGCATGGGTGCATTTAAAAAACACTTACTTTCTGGAATAATGTTTATGGTGGCAATTCTAGTTGACGAAAATTGCATTAGTGCATCACACCTGCCATTTGGTAGGGAAGTGGGGAAGGTGGTTCCTATATGCACTGGCGCATGTTGAACTAGGAATTGTGTGCAATGTAATGTTTATGGTTGCATTTCTACTTGATGAAAACTGCATTAGTGCCAAACACCTGGGATTTGCATGTAGGAACCTGAAAATGACACGAAATTAAAGTGTTCTGATTTCGATTTTACTTGACAATTCCGGTTAAGAATTCAATTTAATTTTTCTTTTGAGATAGCATCAACAAAATATGAACAAGCTTTTGATTCCTAACTATGGCTGCATGTCTGTTGCAATGCAGCATGCCACTGACGCAATCTTGGTTTGCTTTCATTTTAAATGAGGTCAAGTTGAGTTTTTAAAACCAAAACGGCTGGAGAAAACAGTTTTACCATCTTGCCGTTCGGTGCATACATGCACACCACAGGACATGCATGTGTGCAGATGCCTGGTTTGGGGTTAGAAGTTAACTAGCTGGGCTGAGGTTTTAAGGTGAGGTTTAGGAGAAGGCTTCTGGTTTGGGGTTGCTGGTTAATCTCAGTTTCTTTTTCCTCATCAATTTGTACAGAATGACAGAAGTAAATAAGATGTTAGTTCTGATGTTCTTGACTTGGCACAGGTACTTCAACAGGTCTAGGGTGTTGATTGAGTCAAGACAGCTTTGTAAAAAATGAACAACTTGCTGCAACACAAAGAATGCTAGTTAAGAACGATGGTAAGCAAGTGTTTCATCTACGACCGTGCCTTTGGTTACAAGGAAAATGAACGTTTGAGTGGCAGCTGCTGTCACGGTCTTGACACCGGGACTTCAACACATAATCAGAATAGCAGGTCCTTTTTGGGCCTGCAAATACAAGTTTGTTTTATCAGTCAAATCTGTGAGAATATTTAACATTTTAACAATAACTTAATTGACAAATAAGAATAAACTGCTGGGTTGGACTGGGGCAAATGTTTTCCTTGTATAGTCTTGAGTTTCTACTCTTATATCTGGTTGCTCAAGGTCTTTGAGCAATGCTTTGGAAATCATTTACAACATCTTAGCAGCCGAATTATTCAGGGCAGTGTTAGGGTTAGGGTTAGTTGAAGAAAATTTAACGTTGAAATCTCGTACACACCTTTCCACTGTTTATTTACAACCTACTTGAATTCATCGTTACACCAAAGAGCAGGAAATGATCAGATTACTAAATCTATCCTAGAAAGGCTCTCTGAGTCAGTCAGTGAGTCAGTAACATGGCTCGAGGGTTCAGAAAAGTTACACTGTCTGCCCATGAGTCAAAACCCGTAGGTGGCAGAAAAATCACAGAGCAAAAGACTTTCCATTACTCTCTAGCCTCAAATGTAAAGGGTCAAATTCATGAAACATTTGTGCAAATTTATAACAGAGTTGTGCCGTTATAAATTAAATAGAAACATCTTTCTATGCAAGTCAGGTTGTAATGATAATCTAATCTAATGTAAAGACACATGATGATAAGATTATTTAAAAATTACATTTATTTAAAAATTAATTTAAAAAAGTTAATAATAACAGGCTACTAACCTACATCACGCACCCTCAATTTATAATTGTTTTTACCTAAAAACAGTGTGTGTGTGTGTGTATGTAGTCCTAAGAAAAGGGAAGTTTTGACAGTCCTGCTGTGAGAGTGAAGACAGAAAGAGGAAAACGCCAAGATAACACTGTAGTTGGACAAACACACACATGCTACCAACAATCACACACACACACTCAGCTTGTCTTCAGTCGCTCATACAAGAACTTGTGTACACAAACACACACACACACCCTTTCCCCGCCCACTCGGTCTCTTTGTCTCTGATGAGAAAGTTCACCTAGTTTCTTGCTTTCAAAATGTCCACAATCGCTCCTTCCATGGGCTCCCTAGATAAACACAGGATGCATACACACTCAAATGAACGGCAGCTCCATGCTGACAGACGGGGCTGGCTTAACCCGCTCTCCCTCCCTCCCTTTGGGGGGAACAATCCAAGCCCGGCACAAACACACACACACTCCACCAGACCTTGAGCAGCCCCCTCTCACTGACAGATCTGCAACAGTGCTCTCACGCAAGCCCTGCCTCCCCTGAGACACTTCACTGCCAATAGAAAACACACACATACACACCGAACGTCCTGAGTGTGCTCGCATACACTTGAAAATTTCCTGCCCGCATATACAACTCACAAGTCTCAGGAACAGACATGCACATGCAGGGATAAATGTGCACCTGAAAACACACAATTTACCACAAAAACATAAGCAATACGATATCTTCGCGTAAACTACAAGGAAAAACGTGTGCATACGAGCGTCGTCCTTAATGCACCTCTGTAAACAGGAAGTACAGTCTATATCTTCCTGTGCAGTACAGACGAAAATGCAAAATGGTGAAAATGATGTGGTAGAAAGGAACGGAAGAGAGCTTGAGAGGAAGAGTATAATGCACCGGGGCGTCCAATAACCTCTTGGGTCCGAGCAGACGGGAAATGTTGTTGAGGTCCAAAGAAAACTGCTCTCACCCACAGGACTTTCTTTATCTATCTTGACTTACAATGCTGATATTGTTCTCGCACTCGCGTTTTTCCCCTTTCTTCCTTCTCGTTAACACCCCTGACACTTTTTTTGGTTTAGGTTTTAGTGTCATTCAACCCTGTTGTCTTTCATTGTCGGTTGTCCCAATGGCATAGAGGAATGAATAGATATCGGCCATGGCTCCTGGCATAAGGATGTCTAAGACTTTCAAGACTTTCCAAATCTTCACAAGCTTTTTACACATTCTGTCTCAACACTTGCTCACAGGGTCCGTTTTGTATGTTGGGAACTATGTAACTAAAAACTAAAACGGACACATAAAAGTCTTGGTGATCTGCTACATGTAATGTTGGAGGAAGCAGGTAGGTATGGGGTGGTAATGTGAGAACAGTAAAATCTTCTTGACAATATGCCAAAATACTTGTCACCTCAGATAAACAGACAGTAAAATCTCCTTGTCAACTTGTTCTGTAAACTTTCATTCAGACCTGCATGGATGGGGTGTTGACATGTCTGCTAATTTTCCGCTCCCACGATACGAAGGATCACTTCTTGATAAGCTAATGACAAGAGGCTGTAAACAA